TTTGGCGGGTAAACTATTAACTCGGGAATCGCGGAAAGATATTCACCCTTCAAGGTTTCGAATTCAATTTTCATGCGCCGTGCGTGAAATTTTTAACTGTTTTTCAATGTTTGAACTACTTTTGCATAGACTAAAGTACAAAGCAGTGAAAAAAATTAACTCTGGGATCAAGGAAAAATATTCATCCTTCAAGGCTTCGAATTCAGCTTTCATGCGCTAACTATTAACGCGGGAATCACGGAAAGATATTCATCCTTCAAGGTTTCGAATTTAGCTTTCATACGCTGGTGCATCGGGAATCACGGGAAGATATTCATCCTTCAAGGTTTCGAATTCAGCTTTCATACGCTGGTGCGGGGAATCACGGAAAGATATTCATCCTTCAAGGTTTCGAATTCAACTTTCATACGCTGGTGCATGAAATCGAAATCACGGAAAGATATTCATCCTTCAAGGTTTCGAATTCAGCTTTCATACGCTGGTGCGTGAAATTCTCACGAAAAGATATTCATCCTTCAAGGTTTCGAATTCAGTTTTCATACGCTGGTGCGTGAAATTTTTGTCTGGTCTTCTTTAATGTTTGAACTATTTTTGCATAGACTAAAGTACAAAGCAGTGAAAATCATTAATAGGCAATCGTTTGATGGGCTGGATTGCACAAAACGCATGATCGCACCGGCTAGTCTGGTGCGTGCTGCTGTTTATTTTTGTTCCTCCGGTAGAATTAAGTTGAACTGAAGCTTGGCCATCTGGTATGAACATATTGACTCTTACGCACTGTATTATGAAATGCTTATTGTGAGGAGCTTTGCACACAGATATCGGCTAGTATTATTTTTTGTTATTTATGCGTATTAGAAGTTGCAGGGAATAAGCACTCTTGATGGTCTTCTGGCAGCAGTTTCCGAACACTTTATTTTTTTATAATGAATGAGTAAAAATAGTTTTTGGTTTTAAAAATGTTCAAGTGAGTAACCAGATCAGCTAAATTTGTTAAATGAATTTATGCTTCTCATCTGGAATTTTTGGAACGTCTAACTGTTCGTGGTTTAGTTCTCCAAGCACTGAGGAACTTTTCTATGTCCACTGCTCCATGGTCGATGCTGTTGGTCAGCAGGTCAGCAGCCTGCCGGTGGTCGTTCGTTTCGCTTTCTGAAGAGATTTCCAACTCAACGGCACCTTGACTGAAAGACTTTGGCAAATCTCCAACCGTTCCGAGATGTTGGTAGCGTACGTTGAGCAGTAATACCTCGCCTCAAATGATTACCACTTCCAGACTAAGATGAGGCACCTCCTCTAATTAATTTGTTGAAGTTAATTAACCGAGTACTTGAGATTATTTTGATTAATTGAAATAAATGTCGCTCAATTCGTATTTTGAATACTCTTCGGTTCCATATGCTATTTAGAGAAGGTTGTGTGTTTCGAGATTTTCGTTTCTCACTTAGTTAAAGCTTTTGAGTTTTTTTCGATGCTCAGACAATGATATCTGACTTTAATTTATATTTCAAATGAACCCTTTGCATGTTTTAGCTTTTGAGCTTAATTTTGAAGAAAGGAAAGGCATCGGAATTCTTACCTAGGAGGGATTTTGGTACTGAGGTGCTAAGGCTATTCTCTAGTATGTCCATTACTTACAGAAGATGAAATAAAAGGGATTTTTGACTTCTATTTGCCCATTCTGTATAGCTGGTTTTTGTAAAATTGTGCAATTTACAGTATTTCCATTCTCATGTGTGTACGTATAGCTTTTACTCTTTCGGTATGATTTTAACAGTTGTGTTGTCTTTAATAAATAATTCTGATATTTTGATCAGATGCATTTTACAGTGTGGTCTATTATAATTGCAAGTGACAAATTTTCCAGTCGCTTTGACCAATGCTGCACCGCCTGATGGTCAAGCCTGCTGGTGACTCTAACGTTTGTTTGGTGCCCTGGAAGCATCACCAGTTCAACAGTTCTGAAGTACTCAAGACAGTGGGACCAAATCGTGGTTTACATCCGGATGTGCTGGAATTGACCATCTTCTTTGATAAATACATAGGAAAATATGTTTTCAAAACCCGATCGAAACAATCTCAGAACAGAATTAAATCCTCAAAAAATTTTGCGTTGTGGAAGTTTCACTTCCAGCGACAAATTCCGGGAAAATTACCTGTTTGAAGAACAGAAGTATCAAAGTTTTTTTTTTTTGTGGAGGATTTTGCTTTTCAGTTTTAAGTGAAACATGGGAAAAGCAGTCCAACGCCCGAAAGCTTAAGGCATTATTGCTACTATACGTTGAGGCAGTTAAAGCGAGAGTTTGGACAAGTTAAATCGTAGTGGCATTTTTTGTGCATCAGTTTTTTTATTAGCTATTTTCTCATCGTCAAGCGTATCCGCATCATCGACGCAGGTGCAAGACCAATAATGTATCATTTCAGTGTTTATTGTGACCAGTAATGCACCACTGGTGCCCAGCGTGTTATGGAAGTTCGTTTCCTTGCTTTTTTCCTTTGTTCTTTTGGAGAGGAATGCTGAACCAGGAAACATCACCAGCATCTTTTTAATCTATTTCTTTAGCTAGATTGATTCTTTCGAGTCGAAATGAATGCTAGAATCACTAGCATGCTAATCAACAGGCGCTGCAGCACTGATTAAAGCAACTGAAGAAGCTTACAACAGTATAAATCCAGGCTGAAACACACCAGGCTAGCCATTGCGAACATAGCTTTTTACACAGGTTTTTGCTCAGCTTTTTACACAGGTTTCATTCAGAAGCGAGTGCATTTTGCAGCTAATAACCGCCCACATCCTCTTCCAACATCCAGTTCCAGTTCTTCACTAAAAAGTGGAAATGTTGCTAGAGCGGTCATTCGTCAAAAATCCAAACATGTGAATGAACTGAATGTTGAGAGAGGATGAGGGTGGTCGTTCGCTGCAAAATGCACTCGCCTCTGAGTTTGCGGTAAAGCTGAGCATTTCTCATACTCATCTGCAGATAATTCCGCTTCCAAGCAGAATTAAGGCCGCACTTGAAAGTAGAATATTTCAACGAATTTCAGCCTCGCAAATTGTCCGTAAACGAAATAGCCACTTCACTACAAATACTTTTGAAGTGCCCTGTTTAGTGGCGCAAGTGTAAATCGGAACTCATTTTAAATATACGATTTTCCAAATCGATGATAAATATTCTGACAAAATTTCAGCCACTTTTTTCCGGCTAGTTTTC